ACCCCTTTGGGGGTCGAACGACCCTTTCATAGGGGTCGCCTAAGACCATCGGAAAACACATATATAATTACATATTGTTTTTGTGATTAATCACTATGCTTTAATTATGTTCAATTTGTAACAATGAAATTGGGCGTCCCCACGACATGAGGAACTGTATTAAAGGGTCACGACATTAGGAAGGTTGAGAACCACTGTGCTTGAGGAAGAGGTATTATTAAGTTCCATACCCAGACTCACAACACAGAGGGCGCCCCGGAGACTCATCTAGGTTTATTCTTTCTATTCACACCATTGTTTTAGGCTGTCATTCTTAATCTTTTCTTTTTTCTTTTTCCCCGTTCTTTCTCATTACCTTTCCACTCTTGCCGAAGTAAGCCTTACTCATCTCTGAGGTTTCCATATGGACAGTCTCTCACTAGAAAATTTACTGATCCTCCAAGGGCTTGGAAAATGGGCCAATATAGGCTCTCATGACACCCTGTGCTTTTCTCTTTTAATCATATGATTCTAGTCCTCTGCTCTGTTGAAATTGTTTAGAAGCTTTATGTGTTTCTCATAAAATCAGGTATGTTTCTTCAGGACAAGGAATCTTCATCGTCATAGCCTAACATAGCATTGTCACATAGTAAGCTCTTAATACTTGTTGAATAGAAAACATTTACTATTTATTTCTGGACTTATGTGCTAGTCACTATGTTAAATGATTTAGACATATCAATCCCTGCTCTAACTTCCAATTTTCCTGACTTTGAGCTTAAATAACTTGCCCAAAGTGCTAAGAAGGGAGACAGAGAGGGAAAAAGAATGCAATGCATTTGGGCTATTTCTAAATCTCAAATGTATTTTCTACAATTGTCTCATTAGCATTGCTATGGATTTAACACTTGCCTTTCAGCATAAAATTTAGCATCTGGAAAATAAGACACACAACTGCATTTTATCTGAGGGCATTTCTGCAACAGAAAAATAATACTGGGGATGGGAATATGATCTCCATAAAAATCTATAATTATAATTAATTTGAAGTTATGAACACTCAGAGCATTTGTATCTGCAATTCCGGCATTATTATTTTCTATTAGTGCCATATAATAAATGTAGTGTTTTAAAACTTAAAATAACCTTACAGGTAAATATGAAGAACTAGAAAATACTACTGGGATATGATAAACACAACATAGTAAAGCACACTACATTTTTTTTAAGAAACTGCAGTTCACGGAAAATTATTCATAGGTATTTTTCAAGGTAATATGCTAGTGTAACATAAAAGGAAAGGAGGTTAAGACTCAGAGAGAAACACATACATTTTAAAAAGCTGAAGTGTGTACAAAAACCAACAAGAGGTTTCTATGTCCATTATAACTCCTCAGACATACCATTCTGTGGAGAGGTTCCTGGCAATCGATGCTGTAATGTGCCATTGGTGGAAGTACATTTTCACATTCTTTTACCAGGCAACCAACGTGGGGGGTGGGAATGATGCAAAGAATGACTTATAGAATAACCTTCATGTACTGGAAACATGGTTAAAATTCAAAGTGGAAATCTGGCCTTTTCTCTTGGACATGAAACACACACTTGGGATGGACTAGAGATCACAAGTAACATAGGATGCAGATCACAAACCGAACTCAAAACCGCTAACACGTCGTAGTTTGATACTGACATTTTAATAGCTGCCATGATAATGAAATATCATTGACAGTAAAGACAGATCTCAAATAGACCAAGAAGAGGAATTAAATTATTTAAGAAAAATTATATTTTACATTTCACTATTTTAAAAAGTTGAAATAGCCGCTCCTTTCGTATTTCCTGAAGAAAACTCTGGACCTTCTTCATAAAGCTATGATCAATGAGAACTGTTATAAGTGAATTTGGGTCCAGGCTCTGTTGTTTTATAATTTTTGGTGTTACTAATTTTTATGCATTTGTAGCCACCAAAAAAAATCACATTCAATATTTCAAAATGTATTGCCTTTTATATATCAGTGCACTGAGTTTCAGAGTGTCAGAGACCTAGCAAAGTCACATGGCCTAAGCCGAACAGACACCAGAACCTTGAAATCCTGCTCTTTTCTGTTCTGCTCTCTTCTTGAATGCCAAAGCACAGCATGAAGTACTGTCTTCATATACTTGCTTCATGAATGACGTTTTACCAATATTAATTCAATATCAAGAAGAATAACTTTATTATTATAACAGTGGCTAGTCTTCATTTCCCATTTTAAATTATATGGGTGACTAAAATCTTCCAAATAGACTAGGCCAGTGATGGCGAACCTTTTGAGCTCAGCGTGTCAACATTTTGAAAAACCCTAACTTAACTCTGGTACCGTGTCACACATAGAGATTTTTTGATATTTGCAACCATAGTAGAACAAAGATTTATATTTTTGATATTTATTTTATATATTCAAATGCCATTTAACAAAGAAAAATCAACCAAAAAAAAATGAATTCGCGTGTCACCTCTGACCCACGTGTCATAGGTTCGCCATCACTGGACTAGGCAGTGATCTGGATGTTCCTATGTCAAAATTATTCCATTAGAAAAGTTAGAGATTTCAAGAATCTATTTCAGCACATTGTAATTATGAAGGGGGCCATTGACAGAAATCTATTTCCTTAAGAAACTAAAGGCAATGCCTCTAGAAATAAAAGTCATTTCTCCATGTTTCTGTTTCTTCACTCAGAGACGTACCCTATATAATTCACAGTGAAGTGAAGGCAATGCAATGAGATCAGTCTGAGAGCCCTTTGAAGAACAGAATCATTCTACAAATGCAAAGTGGCGTTGGCCTGACTGCGATTATGGGGCACTCAGGAGAGGGGAGGGGGTCATGCTGGACTGGGCCATGAGAGAGCAGTTCCTCAAAGCACCTTCTAAAGGAAAACACAGGCCATCCAGTTCCAACTCATCCCCAATTATCCTGAGGTGGGAGCCACTCAATCAAGTGCCACCAGAAACAAATTGAAAATTGGTGGAGCACAACATAGATGACAATAAACTCCAAAATGCAAGTCGGGGAGCATGAGGACAGCTGATAGCCTGTGTGGCACAAACAGAACCTCCCGTTGCAAGGATTCTCCACTTCCAGTTGACGTGGACGCAGAGGGAAAGGATATGTATAAAGGAGAACGAGGAGTGTATTGCCTTAAGAGGCATGGCGTGTTCCCTTAGCTGGAGGCCCGTGAAGACCAGAAAGAGGCAAAGGAAAGCAATAGGTAAGGTGGGAGGTAGCAGGCCACTGTAAGTTTGGAAACTCAAGCGCAGTTAATGGAGACAAAATTTCAGAGCATTCGATTGACTAGACATGACAGCTTTTCAGATTAGAACAGTATGAGCAAGTACGGCAGCTGAAAGAATACAGTTGCCGTATTTTGAATGAGGGACTATTTAAAATTCAGAGCCTGCAACCTTGGGTAGGATGAGTCTGATTTGTTATTTCACGTCTGCATCTTTCACTTTCCTCACTAACAAAAAGGGGGTAATAATGCTATGTGAACATTAAATGATTTAATACATAATCATTTATTTCTCTCAGGAACCCCTATCACAGGTTTGTGTTTGATTTTAATTGACTTTTACTCATAAGAGTGGTTCCAAGAAAACATTGAAACCAATGGTCTACACTTTTTCCAAAGGTGAATGGTGAATTCCCATTTTGCTTCTGATGTGTCCTGAATTCTAATGAAATTGATGGAGTTTGGAGTAGACAAAATGTGTCTGCTATGGTTCCTATATAAGTACAATGGGGCCTGACTTAAAAGTGACTAACGAGTTTTTCGAGATACGAGCCGTCTCTCGGCCGATTTTTTGCTTTGAGTTGTGAGCTAAAATTCGGGTTATGAGCCACCTTCAGATACCCCATCGCTAGTTGGTGCAGTGAACATTGCAATGAACACCCCAACATCAGCCCAGCATCACGTCTCACTCGTTCACTTTAATGATTTGACATATGAGTAATTTGAGTTACGAGCTCCATCATGGAACGAATTAAACTTGTAAGTCAAGGCGCCACTGCATTGTGTGCATGCGTGTGCATGTGTGTGCGCACGTGCGCATGTGTGTGTGTGTGTGTGTGCGTGTGTATGGGGGAGGAGAGAAAAAGGGGAGAAGGATAAGGGAGGCGGAAGAGAAAGAAGAAGAAGAGGGGAAGGGGAAGGAAGAGGGGAAAAGAGAACATAAAGGCGGCCAAAACATTGAAAAATATTAACTTTTTGTGGTCCTAAGACTGCTGGGAATACCCAAGTGTTCCAGGAATGATAGCTTAGTAGGAAAAAGGCCAAAAAGAAAACCCATAAGTGAGTAGCCAATATGAGCAGTGAAAATCACTCATATGCTTCCAGTATATTTCTTCTTGTTATACATTAAATTCTTTAGCTTCTATTAAATAGCAAAGCTTTATAAAAGCATTCAAAATAAATTTCTTTGAGCTAGATGCTTGTCGATATCATATGAGAAGAGATGAAAAAACAAGAAAAAATCCCTAAGGTTTTCTTTAGAGGGTTGTAAATCATTGAATTATGAGTTACACAGATATTTACAAGCTTGGCCTAAATAGAGTATAGTAATCTGTAAATGCTGTTCAAGTGATTTATGGGGCAACTGTTCTATCACATTAACAATAGCAGGAAATGCGTTTAATTTATTCTCAGGGATGCACATTTATGTTATTCACAACAAGCCATTTATGGGGAAATGTGCAACCCTTAACTAAGAGTGAATGAATCTCTAGTGGGTTTTGAACAGTTATAACTGTCAAATAAATGCTCATATCCCGGCTTACTGTGCAGGCCAATGTAAATGCTCACTAGCTATCCTGTAAACACTCTGTGCTGTGAACTCGTGACCAGCCCTGGGATGCATGGCAGAATCAGTAGCCTGAAGTTGTCTGGGTCCTGAATAATAAAGAACTGACACTCCTGGCTGAAATTTCACAAGAGCATGAAACAGAAAAGCATCCTTTATACCTGATCCCACAGTCCAGATTTGTCGGAAGTGGCAGAGTGATAATTTAAGGTTCTAAGGACCTCTTAGCACTTTTGGCTGCTGTCTGGAAAGTGAACCATCTGACAGTCTACCACATCAAGATGGAAATAATATCCTGGGCCTTCCTGGGTTCTTTATCAAAGTATACACATGCATACGGTTTGGTGGCTGAGATGAAGAAGAAAGGGATAAAAAAAAGAGACAGGAACAGGGATGAAAGCGATTGAGAGAGGGAAGAAGTAAGAGACATAAGAATAGGGAGCCCCATGCTAAATTACCAGTGGCCTTCATATGTTCTATCATTTATTTCTTACAGGAAACCATGGAGATATAGTTACCCAAATAACTATGTTATTTATGTGGAAAGTGAAGGCTTTTGATATAATCGAAATCCTAATACTCAATCTCTTACCAGTAAACAGTGTAGCCCTGATTTAAAATGATTAATTTTAAACTGGAATTGCAGCCTTTGTAGGTCTTAGCTTAGAAAACCCAGAACAGAATGTTGCTCTTTCATGAATTTAGACAGCTAAGCTTTGTAAAATGGAATTATTTCATGTGTTAGAAATAACACAGTGCATTGACTTTGGGTAGTTTGTTCTTGACGGTGGCCCCAGTTTCTCTAGCTACATGTTCTCTGTCTCTTGGCCACTGGACAGATCATTCCTTTGATTATGCAAAGACTCAAGTGAACTAGAAGCCTGATAAATTCTCTTTTAGGGAAACAATACCTCACAAACAACCACCTTCTCTTATAAAATAACTAGAGGCCTGGTGCACAAAAATCTGTGCACTCGGGGGAAAG